CCCCCCCGCTTTTCTTTTTCCCAAGCTAGCCATTTTCCCGCCAAAATATTTTACGGGACCGTACGTGAGAATCACGCATGCCTGGGACCTGAATTCGACAAATTTAAGATGTATATGTGCTGGGAACATTCCCTGAAAGTTTCAGCCACCAGGATTTCCAAGTTAGCGATTTTCGTGCCAGGAACCCCCACGAGGCTGTATGCGGGGAACACGCACACCTGGGGGCTGAATTTGAAATCTTTGAGTTATATGTGAACGGGGAACATGACCTCGAAATTTCAGCTTTTTATCTTTTCTCGTTCTCAAGTTATCAGTTTTCCCGCCAGAACTTTCACCCTCTCGTACGCGGGGCCGGGACTTGCGTGAGGGTTGGTACTGCGCTTCTGGGGTGGCACTTGGCTGGGGGATCCACTAGCGAAATCTTGGCGCCAGAGCTTTCTTGGTTGCTGAGTTGAGATACCCGAACACACACACACACACACACAGAGTCGTCGCAGTATGCGTTTTTGCAATTTGCATGTAGGCGAAAACGATATAAACAGTTTGAAGAATTGAAACGGCCCCGATGTTTATGGGTGCTTGTGCGTCTGTCCGGGTATTTTAGTCCGACGCCAAAACTTTGTCAGTGGGTTTCCCAGCCAAGTGCCACCTCGGGATCGCGGTATCAACCCTCACGCACGTGTTGGCGCCGCGTACGTTCACGTGAAAGTTTTGACGGGAAAACCGCTAACTCGGGAACCAGGTAGGCTAGAAAGCTGAAATTTTGAGGTTATCTTCTCCGTCCATATAGAACTCCAAGATTTCAAATTTAGCCCCCAGGTATGCATGATTCTCACGTAGGGCCCCGTGAAATTTTTGGCAGGAAAATGGCTAAGTCGGGAACCAGAAAAGCTGGGAGGCTGAAATTTTCAGGGAATGTTCCCAGCATACACACAACTTGAATTTATCAAATTCAGGCCCTCTGGGTGCGTGGTTCTCACGTACAGTCCCGTGAAAGTCTTAAGGGAGAAATGGCTAAGTCGGGAATCAGGAAGCTGGGAGTCTGAAATTTCCAGGGAATATTCTCAGCACATGTACAACATAAATTTTTCAAATTCAGCAGTTCGGTATACGTGGTTCTCACGTATGGCCTCGTGGAATTTTTTAGCGAGAAAATTACTAATTCAAGGACCGGAAAGGTTGGGAAACAGATTTTAACGAAATGTTAAAACTGTCTAAGTACCGCGTAGGCAGTTAATTCCCCGAACTTCTAGGACCAGTATGTCACTGGGTTTTCGAGCGATCACGTTTCAGCACAAAATATTGCAAAAACGCATGATCGCACGGGCCTGCCCGGTGCGCACCGCCAATGATTTTTTTTACATTCACTCACTGTTAGCGCTTTGCAGCCTATCTCGAAAACCTACGACCGCGTCAGTTCTGTGTTGTGCGTCGCTGGTTATTAGCGTCCTGGACAAAAAAAAATGACAAAGTATTCCAGCAAGTTCGCGTAACACACTTGAATGTGTTTCAGGGAACAACATCAATAAGCAAACTTGGAAGAACCGGTCGCGGAAAAATGACGGCATGTGGAGATGTCGAGTACTCTTATGGAAATATGAATGCATATTTGTGGCAAACGGCGCAAAAGTGGATATTTTTGATCCGGATGCTTCATCTTTGCTGTAAATAAACTCCTGGACTGAGATACCACTTTTTCACCAGCATTATTATTACGCATTTTATTTGTATCATTACTGTTACTGCTCAAAAATGTCACTGCTATCGGTGAAAAGTTTATCGGGTACATTACCGGTTATTTTTATCGAAGCTCGCCTTCAGGGACCACCAGAAATTATCCTTTCACAGCTTGGTATCTCATTCCGTGCTGATCGCTGCAGCATTGCCGTGCTTAGTAAGTTTTTGTAATTTAAAATTTCCAGGATTTTGAAAGTTGCGGTAAAACTGAGTATTTACTGACCGCCCTTAAACACGAGCATAACAAGCACTCATTTTCACTGAAACCTCAAAAACGCGCGTATTTTACGAATTTTGTCACCCTTCTCTCTCGACGTACTGTACACTGCCCAACTTTCATTGATAACCGAACAAATTAGCGATAATCATGCACGTTAATGGTTATGATTTCCTAATGCATCAGTACTGTCTCAACCAAAACTGTTTTCCCTTGCATGCAAAAACCCAGGCTGGAACGCACCAGGCGAGCCGGTGCGATCATGCGTTTTCGCACTAAACCGTTAACTGCATGAATGGTTGTTTCTTCACACCCACCTAATGCGCTCAGTACCGTAAATCATCGTAAATTTCGCATAAAAGGGAATAAGCAATTTCCGTTTAGCGGTCATTTTTATTCGAAAATGACTCAGCTGTTCAATAAGTATTTTCCCGCCAAAAATTTAAGTGCCCGTACAGGAGAACTGCGCATGCCTTGGGGCTAAATTTAACAACTTTAAGTCGTACATGGGCTGGGAACATTCCCTGAAAATTTTAGCCCCCCAGCTTTGCTAGTTCCTGAGTTAACCATTTTCCCCCCAAAAGATTTCACGGAGCCGTACGTGAGAACCACGTATGACTGGGGAGCTGAGTTTGATAGGTTTATGTTGTACTTATGCTAGGAACATTCCTTGAAAACTTAAGCCTCCCAGCTTTCCTGGTTCCCAAGTTAGCCATTTTCCCGCCAAAAAAGTTTCACGGGGCCATACGTGAGAATCGCGCATGCCTGGGGGCTAAATTTGATAACTTTAAGTCGTACGTTGGCTGGGAACATTCCCTGGAAATTTCAGCCTCCCAGCTTTGTTAGTTCCCGAGTTAGCCATTTTCCCGCTAAAAAATTTCACGGGGCTGTATGCGGGAACCACGCACACCTGGGGGCTGGATTTGAAATTTTTGAGTTATATGTGGACGAGGAAAATAACCTCAAAGTTTCAGCTTTCTATCCTTTCTCGTTCCCGAGTTATCGTTTTTCTCGCCAAAACTTTCACCTCGTCGTACGCGGAGCCAGACTTGCGTGAGGGCTGGCACCGCGATTCTGGGGTGGCATTTGGCCGGGTAACCTAATAGCAAGATCTTGGCGAATTGAAATACTCCAACAGAACACACACACACACACACACAAACATACATACACACACAAACACACACACACAAACACACACACACATACAGGGTCGTCGCAATATGCGTTTTTGCAATTTGCATATAGGCAAAAAAGCATAAAAAGGCGAAAATATATCCAACATAAATCCATGTCTTAAACTGTAGCGCAGCAGCCGTTTATTATGCGTTATTGCCTACATGCAAATTGCAAAAACGCATATTGGGACGACCCTGTCTGTGTGTGTACATATGTGTGTGTATGTTTGTGTATGCGTGTGTTCGTCTGTCCGGGTATTTCAACTCGGCAACCAAGCAAGTTCCAGCGCCGAGATTTTGCTGTTGGGTACCCCGTCCAAGTATCACCCCAGAACCGCGGTACCATCCCTCACGCACGTCTGGGCCCGGAGTACGAGAGGGGGAAAGTTTTGGCGGGAGAATTGATAATTCGGGAACGAGAAAAGAGAGAAGGCTGAAACTTTGGGAATATGTGCCTATACCATGCGCGACCCTCCCATTTTAATATCATCCCCTGCGGAAGCCTGGCCGCCGTGTACGGGCCACTTAAAAAAATATGCAAATTTTTTGGCGGGAAAGCGATCTCGAGAACCACACGAGCTAAGGGGCTGAAACGTTGCAGGGGTATTCCCTGTGCATGTACTGGCTAAAGATTTCAAATTCAGCCCCCAGGTGTGCGTGGTACCCAAGCAAGAGCGTATGAAAGTTTTAGGGGAAAAATTGCTAACTCGACAACCAGGAAAGCTAGAAGGCTGAAATTTTACAGGAATATTCCCTGCCCAAGTGCAACTTAAATATCTCAGATCCAGCCCTCAGGTATGCATGGTACTTACGTAAGGGCGTACGAAAGTTTTAGAGGTAAAGCTGCTAACTCGGTTATCAGAAAAGCTGGAAGGCTGAAATTTTCAGAGAATGTTCCCAGCCCGTATACAACTTAAAATTATCAAATTCAATCCCCAGTCGTACGTGGTTCTCATGTACGGCCCCGTGAAACTTTTTTGGTGGGTAAATGACTAACTCGGGAGCCAATAAAGCTGGGAGGCTGAAATTTTAAAGGGATGTTCTCAGCCTGCATACAACTTAGAAATTCCAAACCCAGCCCCTAGGTATGCTGCTAGGTCACGTGCGGCCCTGTGAAACTTTTGGCGGGAAAATTGTTAACTCGAGGACCAGAAAAGTTGGGAGGCTCAAATTTTAGGAGAATATTCTCCGTCCAAATAACACTTAAATCTTCAAATTCATTCTTCATTTACGTGTACGGGCAGTTAAATTTCTGGCGGGAAAATTATTCATTGAACAGTTGGGTTATTTTGAAAAAAACCGCTTAACGGAAACAGATCATTTCTTTTTATGCAAAATTTACGATGATTTTCAGCATTAAGCACACAAGGTAGGTGTGAAGAAATAACCGTTATGCGATTAACCTAATTCAAGTTTTGTGCAAAAACGCATGATCGCTCCGGCTCGCCTGGTGCGTTCCAGCCTGGATAATAACAACGATGTGTTTGCTTCAAATTTAGCTTAAAACGCACAATCGCGCCGTCAAAAAAAAGTTAACACGTGCGTCGCTATCTGAGTTAATGTAATAAGAGTACTAATAAAAAGTCAAAATCTATAAAAAATTTGTTTCACCTGCGTTGATTTTGAAACACTCCCTTCGTATTAATACTGAGTGAGGCTGCACTTAAGCACAGGCCACTTTAAGCGAGAAGTGTTGGAACCGTTCACGGCTTGTTAAACGGGGAATGGAAGGAAAAAGAGTGGAAGAATGAAATTTGTTAGCAGGTCCGTTATCTACTTTGTTTTTATGAAATATGAAGGAAAAAATTTTCTAAAAACATGTGGAATTTTGAATTCTTTAGTTCCTTTTTCAAAATATGGTGAAATGGAAAGGCAATCTGCGGGGCGTATTTCACATGAGCAACCGGGAACGTGGTTATTAAATAAACGTAATATTTAATACCGCCGATATTACGAGTGTTTATCCCTAGAATTATCGGTATTATTCGACGCACTGATAATGAAAGCTGCTTGGATCTTTCAGTTTCCCTGTTATTCGAATATAAAAATTTGCTTAATACGGGGCTTTTATGCTAAACCACGACACGGTTCTCGGAAGTCTAGCACCACTTCATCTCTGGTGGACCGTACTCAAAGCCCATACTATCACACGAACTTTTCGGCTACCGAACAAATATGAACAAAGACAAACAATTGAGCAACAGTAATGACTTATGTCTCTGACCGATAGCTGAATTGGCCAACGGAAAAAGCATAAGCTTGAGTTCAGTTGTAAACATCAAGTAGACACGGGTCACTGTGGCAGGATTGCATAAAGTTGAACTTCGAGTATCTGGTTTTAAACTGAAGCTTCTTGCTTTACGCCAAAAATATCAAGATCTCTCAGAAATCGACGTGAGAATCCCATGAAATGCTCTACACACTAGACGGCGGTGCTTGACTCTTCGATCTTCAGACGCGTACCTCCGACTAGTACCGACCCTCTGTTCCGTGTGTGTATTTGTGTATGCATATATGTACGTATGTGCCTGTGGGTTCTTCGGAAGTCGCCCGAGTGGTCTCTCATTTTTTTAGAGCTGCCGATTACAAATGTGCAACGTGTCCACCAGCTGCCAGCAGGAGGAGCAAAATACCCTACCTACTAAATTTTATTTGCCCGTGTGGGCAGCAGTGTTATTCTGCACGCCGCTTATTCGATAGAGAATCTGATTGTTTGTAATAATTATGAATAGTTCAAGGCATCCTCTGTCTCTGTCCACCTTTCGCGCTCTTATCTCACTGCTTTCAGCACAGTGGTGTTGTAAAGATGGGCACTGATCTTTTCAATTTGACGCTTTAGTGATACTGACGATACTGTGAAATTTACACCAGCCGGCAACTTCTTTACATGTAATCTCCAGTTAGGGTTTTTGGAGCATGTTTTGCTTCCTGGTCAAAATTGGCGTAGCTTTCAACTCCTTATATACTAATACTTATTTTGACGGGCAGGCAACAGCTTCACTGGACCACCTTTTGCGAGCGCTCGATGTGCGACTGCTCAAGACTCAAAAGCTCATCCGTATTTAACTCTCCAGAAGAAAAACGGATGAACTTGTTTGTTAGAGTTGTGATAACGTTTTTGGCAGTTACATGGACATTCGTATCCGTCAATGATTTCGTTTTTGCAGGGATCAGTCTGCTTGACAACTAACAGCGGGAAGCTGGCAGAAATTAGTAAGTCACTGAGGGATTAGTTTCGGCTGTGTTAAGCTTTCCGCTGTAAACGCCCTGATCGTCGTTCTAGCAGTGGAGCTGACCGCTGTATTGTCGTTGCCGGCCTTTCACGGAAAATTTAGAAAATAGGAAATCGAAAACAGCGCGTAACAATTGCAATATGATTTCACAACTGTCACTAGGAGTATGTGAGTGTGTGTGTGTGTGTTCCGCCCTCAAAGCTGCTATCACTAAACGGAGATGCATTATCCAGCCATTATCCGTATCCGTAGACTCCTCCTGGCAGAGCACTCGCCTCTGCTTTCCGAACTAACTCCTGGATGATTTATATGTTTTTTTTCTAATCAATTTTCTCAAAACATTTCTAGAGAGGTCGAGGAACTGATAAGGTCAAAATGAGGGATTTTGATACAAATTAGCAACAGAAAGTGCTTTATTTTTTGCATGATTATGTAAAACACACTAATGTCATGTCGTTATTCGTTGCTTATGTGCTTCTGTATTTGGTATGTGTCTGTCTGTCCCGGCATTTTAACTCCTACCTTATGAGAGTAAGGAAGCTGAAGTTTTGGCAGGTCATAACATACCCAAAAGAAAAGAAGCAAAATCAAATT